CGTAGCATCATAAGAAGCAATTCTTGCACAAATGAAAATATATGAATAAAACTCCATCACAACAGCGAGTTACCTGAAATTGTAGCGAATACACACAGCTCAAAGGACATTCTAATCACCACTGGACAGCGCAAAAGCCTCTCGATCTTCCAAAACGCCTTAACATGAAAATATTTTCGTGGGAATGGTAAAAATATGCAAACATGGACGGCACGATAAACGTCAACATCAGCAATTTCACTGAAGCATTTATTGATGAAATGGCCACAAACAGAACAAAGTATGCAACAATTTACGGTGCCAACGCAGAAGCACCGTCGTGCCAATAAAAACAAAAACAAAAAAAAAGGATAAGCACAAAACACATCAATAATACAAAAAAATATCAAAATTTAGGATGTGAAAAAGAGGCGCACCACATAATCCAGTCACAAATCCCCACACATATATCAGCCAAAAAGTCAAGGCACTTTGCACTTTAAGTCAAAGACAAAATCAAGAAATCGGCTCCGGCTCGTGATCGTCATCATCATCGTTCGAAAATGCCTCTGCAGCACCAATGAAGTTAATTGCCTGCGCAAGCCGTGAAGACCGATCACTGGCACAACGATCATACTCCCAACGCATGAAGGAATCCGCTGAACCTGTCAGTTCAAAAATGCGGGCACCATCTGGAAGTACTTCCATTATTCCATACCCGAAAGAATTATTTACAAAAAGGACTAAAAAACTTAAAAAAGGTCATGCTTCCCTTTTTTTGAATAGCAGGATTGGGTTTTTTCCTTTAAATTTCTAGCCGATCAAGTGCCCCACTGAGATCTAGAAGTGGTAACATTCGAAACGAGGTAATGATGCTCAGTATACAATAAAGATATCCCGGACAACTTAAACTTGCTAAGTTCTTCAAAAGATAAACTCAACGCCAGCGGCACAAAAAAAGTGAAAAAAGTATCAAAGTGGCACCCACACTCACAGCCCTTCGAAAAATCAAACATCTCAAGGATGTCTCTAAAAATTTTGTATAGACCTTCAGAACTGAACAGCTTTTGGAAGGAAGCACTTCGAAGTTAGCCAGAATCTCCGTAACATTTTAGCAAAGATACTTAGTTACACGAATTAGTCAAAAATTGCCATAACTCTGTACTGACGGGGAAAATAAGCATGAACAACAAAATTTCGAAGAATTAAACAGCTGTGACCCTCTAACTCAGAATTCTATTCGAGAACGTCCTTCAAACCTTTTCGTCCCTTATCAGCAGCCCTATATAAGCGATACTTTTCAGGAAAATGCTGTTGCACTCCGTTCAAAATACGTCCTCGAAAGGTTGCCATTTCTGTGCCATCTGTAATAGCAACAGCGATACACATCGACACAACTCAGGCCAAAATGAAGGACTCTGTGCAGGTGTTCCAGATGTAGATTTCGAGTAGCTTCAATGCTGCTACGGCTCAAAATGGATCACAATTAGATATTTGAAGTCACAATTCCAGGACATAACGAGCGCCAACAACTGGAATGCTTGGAACAGTGGTTTATTCCACAGATTCACAATCA